GTATAAGATTTCATTCTTTGAAATATCAAGTATATAAATATATAGAAAGATATAAAGGAACGAGTTCCTGTCACAAACTCAAATCTTCTAATCCATAGAGTATAACATTTCATACTTTGAAATATCAAGTATATATATATATAGAAATATACAAAGGAACGAGTTCCTGTCATAAACTCAAGTATTCTAATCCATAGAGTATAAGATTTCATTCTTTGAAATATCAAGTACATATATATAGAGAAAGATAAAAAGGAACGAGTTCCTGTCATAAACTCAAGTATTCTAATCCATAGAGTATAAGATTTCATACTTTGAAATATCAAAGATCTACATTTGACATTGTACCGTGAACTGTATACATGTGAAATTGATTTTTAAACAATATATTGTAGCTATAGATAGATATTGTAGGTGTTAGGTACTTTCCCAAAGGCATTTTCCCAAGGGCAACTTCCCAAGTGACAATTTCCAAGTGGCAACTTCCCAAATGTGCAATTTCCAAAGTGGAACTTCCCCATGAAGGAAAAACGGCATTTTCCCCATGAAGGAAGTATTAAAGGAACATTTAAGTTTTACATTTTTAAAAGAATTGCCCAACTTTTTTTTAGAAAATTGCGCAACTTAAAAAAAATTCATTCAGTTTCTCGTTGTTAGTTAAGGCAAGAACATGTTGGCGGTCCCCTTTCTTCAAAGGGTAAAAATGTATTAAACGATCCTTATTATTATTTACGGTTAGGTTAAGCCTTCTAAGGCTGATGGGCTAGGGGGCCGAACCGTGCAGCTATTACTTGTTTTAAAGAAAATATAGTACATTATTTAGGGTTAGGTTAGCCCTGTGTGCCGCTGCAGGCTACAATTGTGGCCGAATGCTGCGGCAAGGATAGGCTAGGGGGCCAAGCGCTGCAGCTGGGATGAGCTAGGGAGCCGAGCGCTGCGGCTAGGAAGGGCTAGAGGCCGAGCGCTGTGGCTATTACTTGTTTTAAAGAAAATATAGTAAATTATTTAAGAAAATTGTTACTTTGGAAAATGTACATTTTGGAAGTTGCCGCTTTTCCTTATGGGGAAGTTGCCACTTGGGAAATTGTCATTTTGGAAAATGTACATTTGGGAAGTTGCCGCTTGGAAAATTGCACATTTGGGAAGTTGCACTTGGGAAATACCCTTGGGAAAAGGCCTTTGGTAGTACCTAACATTATATTGTAGATATATAGATATTATCATATTGTTTGTGTCATTTGCTGTTAGAAAATAAAAATATGTTTTCAAAAAAGGGTTTTCATCATGTTTTTTATTTTTTGTTTTGTTTTTTGTTTTTTTTTCTTTGCTTTCCCAGTTAGGTTGTTTAAGAAACCCCTAACTATCATAATTATTCATAACTTCAAATATTTAATTTCTGGCCTCTGCATAATAGCGTTAATAAAGATAGAGTTTAGGTGTACTTGAGTAATCAAGAAGAATATAAACATTTCTTACACTAGATGGCGCTAGAATGAAGCTTTTTCTTATAGTCTGCCAAATAGAACAAGCTGAATCCTGTTTTCTCTCAGCTCTCTACAAACTAAGTGTTTTCTATGGGGGAATATTTATTAAACTGCATATATAGAAAAGTATAGAGGGTTAATTTTCAAAATATGGGTTGAAGTTTCCCAGTAGCGAGAGGTTGCATGGGACATTTCAGATAAAGAGATTTTATAGTTAGGACATTTCAGATAAAGAGATTTTATAGTTAGGACATTTTAGATAAAGAGATTTTATAGTTAGGACATTTTTTCATAGAAAAGACACTTCATAGACAGAAGTGCATTGAGTCTTTGCCAAAAACTCGAATGTTTTAATCCCTATAACTTTTAAAAATATTGTCGTAGGCCTTTGGTATTTCAAACTTTGATAATTTAATCTAAAAAATTCATAGTTTGAAATATCTAAGATCAACGAGATTGGGTCAAAAAAATATTGGGATTTGAAATTCAGAGTTTGTGGCAAAGACTCAATTCCTTTCTTAGATAAAATATTTTATAACAGAACATTTCATAGATTGGACATTTTATCGATAGGTTATTCATAATTATGACATTGCATAGATAAAAAATTAAGTGTTTAAGGAAAAAATATTTGAAAACTTCCAAAAATAGAAATATTTCTAAATTCTAAAAAATATAAAAAAGAAATAAAAGGAAAAGAAAAAGTTACATATTTATTGTTTACATTATATTTAAGATAAATTAGTGGTGGATTGTTAGTATTTTTTGATGATGAACTAACAACTAAAGATAATCCTTTATGTTTGATTATATCTTTTACTCTTTTTAATCTTTTAAGTCTTTTCTTTGTAAAGTCGTCTTTGCTTTCTACGATTCTTTTGCAAACATAGCATGTGTTAGAATTAAACATTTGTTCTGCTGATAATAATCTTCAATTAAACTCTGTTTAAAATTCGAAATAAGAAATATTTGAAAGCTTAAAAAAATGTGTCGTTTATTTTCATACCATATTTTAGGGAAATTGTGAGGGGGGACCATTCCAATTTTAATAGATTTTATTCTAGGAATATAAAAATCATTTCTGTTTCTAAGATTTGCGTTTTTGATATTTTTTTAATAATGTGAAATCTTTTTAAATGTTGGTGGTATTTTCGTGAAGATTCTCCTAATTTAAAGAAAACATAAGGACAGTCGTTTTGTGCATTTAAAGAATTTAAAAATAAAATTGCATTAGTTTTCTCAATGTTAATAGTAAGTTTAATAGAAATTATTAATTAGAAGCTTTATGGTTTTTAAAAATCAAATTTTTTTAATAAACTTTTCATTTAGAAGTTATTAACTTTTTCATGAAATATATAGATTTGGTTTCATATTGATATAGAGAAAATGTTAAAATGTGTGCAAAAAAACATTCCTGCAAAAAAAAACGCAAAACGGTTATATCTATCAATCTTATTATACATTTTTAACATTGGAGCACATCGAGAGTAATCCCTCTTATTATACAACCTTGGGTGTTTCTAAATAATTTACTTTTACTGACGTATATATTACTAGGATTAAGAGTTCTTCGCGCACCCATCAGAACATAATGCATTTTTTTAAAGTGTAGACAAAAAATGTTTGTTAGATTTATCTGTTTTCTAAACATTTCTTTAAAAACGAATCTTTTAGAAATAATATTTTAGTTTTCAATCGGTCATAAAATTTCTAAGTGCCTGATTGGTTCAGACGTTTTGACCTTCATTGGATAAAAACAAAAACACCGACAAGATAAATATGAAGATCAAGTATCATTTTTTGTTGTTTAATTTTATTGGTTTTCAATGCAGATAATTTAATAGTTGATGAACTTTTACAGTTTTCTGATTTAAATCTGAATGTTAGCAGATGGGTTTATTACGTCTTACTGCCAGAAAGTATGAAAAAATTAATGAAAAGCTAGATTTTGCAAGGAACATTTTGTTTTTATAATCTATATAATAAAACAAGACATTCGTATATATATGTTGCCTATAGCCGGCCAAACGGCTGGACCGATTGAGCTGAAATTTTTTTTGGACACTCATAGATGGCCGGGGGTTGTCATAAGCTAAAAACATAAAAAAAAAATTTTAAAATTTATTTTTCCACGCCCTTCAGCTAGTTCTATAAAAGAAAAGTGCCAAGTCTTTTTGTTTTGTTTTTTTATTTGTAAAATTCATAGGTTTTTTTAAAACTTTTTTAATATAAATATGGAAAATAAAGTTGACAGAAGAAGGTTTAAAAAAATGATATTTGCAAACAATGTATTTTTAAGGTTAATTGTTAAAAAATATTTCACAGCTTTTATTTCTTGCATATATAACTGTGGGTTGTTGGATTACCACCATTGCTGTTAAATAAAAACCTGATCTAATTTTAACATCATCCATGCGATTTAACATTCAGCATGCAATTTTTGCGCGAAATCTGCGTCAAAATCATTATGTACAATTTGCGCATTTGGTTCCATTATATATTTTTTTTTTAGATTTAAAATGTAAAACAAAAAATGAAGCTACGATCTCTTAAATGAAAAAATATTTTTTTGCTAATTTTTCTGCATGTAAATTTGATAAAAAAAATTCTGTTATGAAGTGAAATTTAAAGATGTCATAGTTACTTCAGCAGTGTACATGCTCTTTGACAAACCTCTTAATTTTGACATTTAGAGCACTGGGCAAATTACTTTCAAGGTTATCACTGGCAGTGATTTAACTCTTCGATGGTACTTACATGGCAAGAAACAATGTGTATATACAAGAAATGGAGGTAAAAAAGTATGTGTATATACAAAAAATGGAGGTAAGAATAGATGTGCATATACAAGGAATGGAGGTAAGAATGGATGTGTATATACAAGGAATGGAGGTAAGAATGGATGTGTATATACAAGAAATGGAGGTAAGAATGAATGTGTATGTATAAGGAATGGAGGTAAGAATGGATGTGTATATACAAGAAATGGAGGTAAGAATGTATGTGTTTATACAAGAAATGGAGGTATAAATGAATGTGTATATACAACAAATGGAGGTAAGAATGTATGTGTATATACAAGGAATGGAGGTAAGAATGTATGTGTATATACAAGGAATGGAGGTAAGAATGTATGTGTATATACGTGGAATGAAGGTAAGAATGGATGTGTATATACAAGAAATGGAGGTAAGAATGTATGTGTATATACATGGAATGAAGGTAAGAATGAATGTGTATATACAAGGAATGAAGATAAGAATGAATGTGTATGTACAAGGAATGGAGGTAAGAATGAATGTGTATATACAAGTATATACAAGGAATGAAGATAAGAATAAATGTGTATGTCCATGGAATGGAGGTAAGAATGGATGTGTATATACAAGGAATGGAGGTAAGACTGTATGTGTATAAACAAGGAATGGAGATAAGAATGGATGTGTATGTACAAGGAATGGAGGTAAGAATGGATGTGTATATACAAGGAATGGAGGTAAGAATGTATGTGTATANTGTAGTTGAAACATAGTCACAGTGAGAACAAGGATACCTCACACCTTCATGTTTACTTTCAACATGTTTCTTCAGGTTACTTGCTTGAGTTGCAACATAATCACAGTGAGGACAAGGATACCTCACACCTTCATGTTTACTTTCAACATGTCTCTTCAGATTTGCTACTTGAGTTGCAACATACTCACAATGAGGACAAGGATACCTCACACCTTCATGGTTACTTTCAACATGTGTCTTCAGGCTACTTGTTGTAGTTGCAAAATAATCACATTGAGAACAAGGATATCTCACTCCTTCATGTTTTCTTTCAACATGTGATTTCAGGTTGCTTGCTGTAGTTGCAGCATAATCACATTGCAAACAAGAACATCTCACTCCTTCATGTTTAATTTCAACATGTGTCTTCAGTTTACTTGCTGTAGTTGCAAAATAATCACATTGAGCACAGGAATATCTCACTCCTTTGTGTATATTGTCAACATGAGTCTTCAAATGACCTGCTGAAGTTGCAGCAAAATCACATTGCAAACAAGGATATCTCACTCCTTCATGTTTAATTTCAACATGAGATTTCAGGATACTTGCTGTAGTTGCAGCATAATCACATTGCAAACAAGGATATCTAACACCTTCATGTTTACTTTCAACATGTGCCTTCAGTTTACTTGCTAGAGTTGCAACATACTTACAGTGAAGACAAGGATATCTAACTCCTTCGTGTTTACTTTCTACATGTTTCTTCAGATTTGCTGCTTGAGTTGCAACATACTCACAATTAGGACAAGGATACCTCACACCTTCATGTTTACTTTCAACATGTGTCTTCAGATTTGCTGCTTGAGTTGCAACATACTCACAATGAGGACAAGGATACCTCACACCTTCATGGTTACTTTCAACGTGAATCTTTAAAGATCCTGCTGTAGTTGCAGCATAATCACATTGCGAGCAAGGATATATCACCCTTATATGCTTATTTTCAATATGAGTTTTCAGTTGATAAGCTCTGGTTGCAACATACTCACAATCATTACAAGGAAATTCCAGATTTCTTCTCTTACTTTTCTTAGGTTCTGGTTCAAGTACTTCAACCATGTTTTCTCCTAAAAAGTTAAAGATGAAATACTATTCAATTTTAATCAATTAATTAACTGTTAATTTGCGTATTAGATAAATTATTGAATTACCTATATCCTCGTTTTCATATTTAATGATTAGCTCAGTGTGAAAATCAGGATCAAATACAGGTTTATTCTCTACAGTATCCTGTAGTCCAGTATTCAAAACATCTAAACATAAAAAAAGAAGTTTACTCAATGTGTTAATACCCCGCCCCCTTTCCCCCCCCTTCGTATCAGCCTAGTAAATTATTCTTTGAAGTTTTTCAAGCTAAAAAATGATTCAAATTCATAAATTTCCCGACATGCTCATTTGTTCTTCACTTTAAATTTTTAAAAGAGCTAAATTTTTATATTACCCTTTATTTGCTCAATTTTCCTACCCTTTCCCATGCCAAGGTCACATCTCCCCCCCACCCCCCACCTACCTTCCTACTATATATTTAGATATTTTGCTAACTTTTCATGTATATTTATCATACAAAATTTCCAATAACCTGAATCCTGTATTTCTTTTATACAAAAGTTCTAGAAGTTTCCACTCTTGGAAATAGAAATGTACTTCTCAGAAACTGGAATTAAAAATGCGGGAAAAGAAAATCTGTTAAAAGTAGTGTTTGTATTTTGGTACTTTACTTATAAAAGAGACAACAGATCAAAATTACCAAACCTTAGCTTGGAAGATTTGTACTTGATGTTTTATTTACACTATTAATATTCAGAAGTCTGATAAGGTTGTTATTTAATAAAACCATTAGGTTTACCTTGTATTTCTGTTTTATCAATCTTAATAACATCTTTATGTAGATTAGCAGTCCATGTATCCTTTACAGTAGAGGAGGGAAGGATTTCTTCATTTTTGGAAATTAACTCTTCTTTTATCTCAAATTCTTCTAAATCTATTTCTTCTTTCATAATTTCTGCCATTCTATCTGAAAATATGTTTAATATAAAATAGAAATATTTACAGTATGAATTTTTTACGATATTTTGTATATATCTTTTTTATCTCAAATTATTCTCTATTTTATTCTTTTTAAATCATTTCTGCCATTTGTCTGCAAAATAAACATAAAGTATATTTAAAGCCAAATATGAATTACAAAGTAAAACAAGTCATGCATGAACAAAGTAAAATGAAACACAATACGTTTAACATAAAATAGAAATAGTTACAATAATAATTACTGTATGACAATTTACTATTTTTAAAAAAATCTTTGTACAGGCAAAAAAATAGTTCAATTGAGCAAAAAAATAGTTCAAATGAGCCAAAAATAGTTCCAATAAGCGAAATAATAACTCAAATGACAACAATCGGGTTTTCTGTGTTCAATTGGACTAAAATTTTATTTTCCCGCCAGGAATATTTAATTTTCGCGCCAGGAATATTTTAGTACAAATGATCATTGTGCAATTGATCTGGAATACTAAAAATATTTGTTCAAGCGCACTAATTTTTTTTCTGTAAATATTAGTGCAATCGAACGTTAGTGTAAATGAACATTTTCACCAAAAAATTTGTTCAAACGGACTATTTTTTCTGTAAATATTAGTGCAATTGAACTTTAGTGCAAATGAACATTTCAAAAAAAGAAGTTAACATTGATTTACTGCCAAAAAAGTCGCATTTTTTCACAACAAGCGCGCGCGGGCGCACTTTTGCTCAGATTCCTTCAAAACAAAAAAATGCATGTAATATACATAATTCTGAGTTTGCATGCAAAAAATCAGCCTCCTATGGCAATTCTAAGTTATGTTTATACACTGTTTAAATTTTCCGGAGAGTAATAAGTTTTTTGCCCCCCCCCCCCCCTTTATAAAAGCTACAATTAAAACAAACAAAATGGGATTTTTATTATAAACTTTTTGAGTGCGGACCAGCCGCCTTCTTTGAGAATGATGCAAAGGAGCACCGGCCCCATACTTCAAGTTACATTTGACTGGTTTACAACCATGAGAAAATGAAAAAATGAAAAAAATGCATTTAATGCATGGGTCCGGTGCTCCCTGAACACCGGACCCACGCCGGGGTGCTAATCAACCCTCTCTAAGTTTTTTATCCCTGGTTAGAAACCAATTAAAAAAAACATTTCAACTCATGTATACAAATAAATTCATTTACATGCTTTTAAGGCTTGTTAATTAAATCGTCCTAGTTCCACTCCATTTTACATTCTCTTCGAAAGAAAATTTCATATGCATTTTGATGTTTCACCAAAAGTTTAATTTGGGTTTCATTTTCTTGATTGTGAAAATATATTCTAATTTTTTCCCTGGTATCTCGGCTGGTAAATAATATGCTTCTTTATCTAACTCCTTCGAGTTTATTCCCAACATGCGTCTTCAGGTTACTTGCTGTAGTTGCAGCATAATCACATTGCGAGCAAGGATATCTCACTCCTTTATGTTTATAATTAACTTGCCTCTTCAAATCACTTACTCTAGTTGCAATATACTCACAATGAGGGCAATGATATCTTACCCCTTCATGTCTATTTTCAACACGTTTCTTCAGGTTACTTGCTGTAGTTGCAAAATAATCACATTGAGAACAAAGATATCTCACTTCTTCAGGCTTGTTTTCAACGTGCCTCTTAAAATCACTTGCTGTAGTTGCAGCATAATCACATTGAAAACAAGGATATCTCACTCCTTCATGTTTAAATGCAACATGTGTCTTCAAGTAACTTGCTGTAGATGATAAATAATTACATTGAGCACAAAGATATCTCACTCCTTCATGATTGTTTTTAACGTGCCTCTTCAAATTGTTTGCTGTAGTTGCAGCTTAATTTCATTGCAAACAAGGATATCTCTCTTTTATGTTTGTTTCAACATGTCTCTTCAGATTCCTTGTTGTTGTCGCAAAATATTCGCATTAAGAACATATTATTTTCTATAGAATTAATGACAAATAAAAAGATACAAGCCACGGTAGTTGGGGCTTCACGGCCACAGCTACTGCCACTCGGGCATAACAGTATCATTGCACATGTCATGCTAACTCTGTGACCCACGTACTCCTAAGGGAGGCAGAGGGTTTCAGGGAGGGATGGTTTCCTGGTAACATTCGTGTGATTGGGATGTCATACTAGATAGATAGATGCCATAGTGGCAGTAGCTGAGGCCGTGAAACCCCAACTACCGTGGCCTGTATCTACAGCCTTATAATTAGTAAGAGAATGTTAGATTTTTCCTTGTTTTCCTCCGACTCCTTGCCGGATCATTCAATTTTCTTTTAGTTTTCCTTAATTCCAGCTAGGCTAGAGTTCCATAAGCAGGCTAATCTCAACGGCTTCAGTGGTTCCCAGCTAGGCTAGAGTTCCATAAGCAAAATAATCTCAAAGGCTTCAATGGTTCCCAGCTAGGCTAGAGTTCCATAAGCAAAATCATCTCAAAGGCTTCAATGGTTCCCAGCTAGGCTAGAGTTCCATAAGCAGGCTAATCTCAAGGCCTTCAATGATTCCCAGCTAGGCTAGAATTCCATAAGCATATAGTTTACATATAGTTTTCTTTTATTCTGTATGAAAATTTAAACTTATTAAGATT